TCCTTGATGCCAAATAATCCAGTTGCATCTTATTTTCCTCTGATATATATTTTTCTTTGATTGCCCATTTTTATATATATTTAATATAAATGTAAGACTTTAGACGTTATAAAGCCTTCAAAATCAATTACGTATGTTATCAAACATACTTTTCTTGACTTCTAATTTAAATACGATTTTAACTGTATTTTTTAACAAACCTAATAATATGAGAACTTTTACCATTGTTAGTATGCCTCAGAAATGAGACAATTGGATATTTTAAACATGTACAGTAAATTAGATTAACTATATTGTGAAATCCCTAGATCTTCAAAGTGCACTCACCTCCATTTTCCTGTGGAATCCAGTCTCATAGGAAATTTTTTTATAAAGGTTACAAAATAGAGAGAAAATGCTGACGACACATTGTGTTAGCTTTCATATTGAGTTTAAATATCTACAATATTGTTTCAGTGGAATAAGTTCATATCCATTTTTTAAAAAACTGTTCTATAATAGTATGAACATGTGGAAATAAGCTTACACTATAAATTCATATTTTTCTTTTTCAGCTCAGAGACATTAATCATCTGTTGTGTTTATGGAACTCTCTTGTACTGGCATGAAGTCTGTCAGCTAACCAGAAATTGCATACACCTGATATGCCTGTTTCCTCTGCAATCCAGAACATGGTGTATGCGAAGATACTTTAAAAACAAAAAAGTACTGTACCCCATTTCCAGGAAATCTGTATGTGTTGTACATTTAATTTCAAATCGAAAATGTTAATATTTTATAAACTATTTTTGCAATAAACAAAGGCATGAGCCAAGGAGCCTATTCAACATGTAAGGAACCACTTGAAGTACCAGAATGAAGAATCACGAAGTGTAATATTACTCTTCAAATGCAACTTGTCTGAATGGGCGCCAGGAACTGGTTGAGACACCTGGAAAGTTGGCTATAAAGTAGTTCTTTTGTTCTTGGTGTGTTACATTTGACATCTTAACAAACATTAGTCTTTAGTGCAAGTGTTAGCAGAGCTGTAATCCTTTACTGGAAGCATGCCCCAATTCAACTGTGTTATTAAGTGCTGACAGATGTATTTTGAGACTAAGGTTTTCCATAAAGAAACCAGCAAGGGGCGAAAATACATAATTGTATTGTATTGGGTAATTGTAGCAAAGACCATCCCTTTTGAAAATAGTTTGGTGGCTAGAATAGAGGCTGCATCACAAGGTACAAATCTTCTATCTACTTGTGTTCACCCAGCAGTATCTGCCATAAACAGGTACTGTTAAGATGGAATAGTAATTGGTATCCAAAGTCATGACATTTCTTTTTATAGCACAGTGATGCTTGCACATTAAGTTAGTCATAACTAACATGTTCCACTGAGACTTCCTTGGCATTTTAAAGATTAACTGGTTTACACAGGAAAGTTTCCTATCCCAGCAAGCCCCTAATCTTTTCTCAACGGGACTTGAGTTTTTAACAGCAATGTGGTTTCACATTTCAATGAGAATAAGTTATGCCAAATTTTCACTGGATTACAATGAAAGCCTAAAAGAATTACATGTTCAGTATTTTAAACTGCTTCTCATTTTGAAAGTATGCAAACCCTTGCATTGGAAGCAAAATTCAGCAGTTAGCTTGACAAACTGATGTCATAAAAATGCACAATATATAGATTGATATAATTAACAGTTTTCATGTCAATACAAGGATGCCTTCTAATATATAGATTTCAATCTTTAGGATATTAAAATACATTAAGATATTTTTTTCTAAAATTATGTATTCCAGAAAATACAGCAAGTGTCCAATTCATTTTTTCCAAGTTGCAATCATAACTTTTCCTCTTTATTTTATTTAGTAACAGATTTATATTTTAAATAGCATTTGAAACAAGTGAAATATGTTTATTACAATACAAGTCTATATTAAAAGATTTAATAATTATCTGTGAAAACACTTTTTTAAAGTATTTATAAAGATTCCAGAGCACCTACTTAAAAAAAAAAGCCTTGCATAATAATGATTCATAGTAATTTCAATTATGCCCACTTTCATAAGAGATTTGGTGACTTTTAAAGGTTCTGCAGTACTCTTTTCACTGATGTTAAAGCAAAAGAGTAATGGTGTAGGCTTTTTTTCCAATTTTTCATTCAAAAAATGTTATTTGAAACTAGTTTGAGAAGGTTAAAAAGAAACTTCAATGACATAGTGCAGATAATGCATCTATTCCGAAGGAAAAATACTTTTTAAAAAGCATCTTAGTTTAAAATGATGTCTTTTCACTTGAAAAAATGCATAAAGCTTGAGGGAGTCACCATGGCACAAAGTGATAGTTTCTACTCAGGAAAATGGTATCAATCTATACAAACAAGAGTGCATATATTGATTATGGGCGGAGCCAATAGTGCCTCCATACACAACATCCCGCTGTTAGCCAGAACTCTGGTTTATTTTTCTTCAATTCAACACCAATTCTGCCTATTTTACCACCGTAATTCAATGATGTGGAGAAGCCAGTTTATGTGTAGAAAAGAAGGGAGTTAAGTTTGAAAAAGAGACAAGATAACTATTTATAATGCTCATGAAGAATTGAATTGCAACTATCTTGTTTTTCGTTTTGAGATGATGCTGTCAGGGAAATTTTTAGTGGTAGTAACGTATTGCTTTTCACTTTTTTCTTTAGTTGCTTAATATTTAAGCTTTGCTCCATGTTACCTTTTACATCCGTATATTATGTCACTATGCCTCCTTTGTTTGGTAGACTTCAATAAGGAAAAAAATATTAAACTTTTACAGTTTTGCCTGAAATTAAATATTCAAGAATTGTTGTGTACCATGTTTTGAAATAAAATGATTTGTTCTCTCTGCACTTTTAAAAAGTTATCCCAAGAATGTTACTGTTTCTTCCTCTGTTTGTTTCTTCGACAGTAAAAGATTAATGAAAGTTGTAATATTAAGCACAGATAGCTAATAGTAATTCCAACAGAAGACAATAGCTTTCTAAATTATGTAGATTACACCACTTCTAGAGTTTATAATTTAGCAGAACAGGTAAGGGGAAGGGAGTAGTGAAATTTTCTGCAGCAATACAACATGCCCACCTGGATCTGGGACAGACCGTATAAATGTTCCTTCACATCCCACAGAGATCATGGACAGCAATGTTATCTTGGCCAGGAAGTGATCTGATCAGGGCAAAGAACATATGTACAGTATAACTAAATGTTATACTGTACATATGCAGATCACTAAACAACTGTTCTGAAGTGTTGCCTTAATGTGTTGGGCCTCAGATCACAAGGGACAAGGTGATGGTTGCCTAGAGGTCATGTACTCCCAAATCTGGGAGTACATGACCTCTAAGCAACCAACAAAACATGGTATCTGAAATTGTCCAGTATCAATAGGCAAAACTATTCCACTGCCAACCAGAAATCATTGAAAGATCATGCTGATCAGCCAGGAGGATACTTAACTTGTTCTTACAGCTCAGTGTAATAAATTGGCACTTACATTTGCTCACTTATAGATCAGTGCCACTACTCCCTTCCTGGTTGATGAACAACAGGAAACAATAGAACGAATCTCCAAGATATCAACATTGGTGCCCTTGCCCAGAGACGTCCCAGTAAAGTACATGAGATCTACCTGTTCATCCTCAATCAAGCTATAGATAAGCACAGGCTTATTAAAAATGCCTTATTAATGTTACCATCAACTTAAGGCCAAGGGCACTAACAATCCAGCTGCCAAAAGCTAGGTTTGGGGCCACCAGAAGAGATTACCAGCAATTTCTCTAGAATGGCAAACCTAGCATCCCGCATAGTATTTTCCCAAATCTGTCACTAATAGGATCACATTATTCTCTCCACTTAACTTCTATTCCCTCAGTCCAAGGCCACCAACTAATTTCAATCATCCCACTCAAACAATCCACCAATTACATGCTGAGATCAGTAAACTGGTGACATCACTTATACTGACTCTCTGCCCAATTCACTACTTTTTTTCACCATCTAGCATCTCTTGGGAATCTCTAAATTCCAGGTTACCATCTCACCACTACTTTGAGAGAATCCTGGCTCGGGTAGATCATCTATCCATTCAAACCAGTGAACTTCTGTATACAAATGCAGCACACTTTGCTTAAAAATATGATGTATGTGAAAATCAGGCATCACCTTAAGTACCAGAGACTCAGTCTTCTAAGGGTTAATCCAAACATGTTCAGCACATTGGCCAGACAACATACCTTTCTTTGTACTGAGTCCCAAACTGCGAAGTCAGTATTCTGTGTTGTGACTTTCATGTCCACACAGGGAGAAAGAAAAGGAATTTCCACTCCCAACTCCACCACCTTCTAATTGACAAATAGTAGCACTTACTAATGTGCCGTTGATGTTCTTGGTCTCTTCTATTTACTGATAATACTAGACTGTTGGACAATTCTTAACTTCGGTTTCCAATTACTAATTCATCAAACACCCTGAATTTTCAATCACTAGTAATTGCCAGTCTGCTGGTAATGAGCTTCTCAGGTACATCCCAGGTCCAGCCCTAGCTTTGCCTCTCCTTAGAAACAACTTAAAAAGTTAGTATGTGATGGCTACCATATCACCCATCTCTCAAGCAATACCAACATCTCTGTTCCTGTATATTTTCACACTGAGCAGTCAAATAATCACCTTTACAGTCCCCACTCCAACATGAAGCAGGTCAACTGAAAATATTTGCACATTCCAGCAGAACCAACAGATCTCAGCAACAGGGAAATATCACTATAGGTGTAAAACAGCTTCCAATTATAATCTGTCAATCATGTTTCATTCATTAACAGAATTATCCTAATTCATTCAGCTTCTTCCAAACTCTCCTAACACTCTCTTAAACTATTTTATTCCAACCATATAACCAAAGATTAAGTCAATTAAACCAAAACCAGACCATCTCTTACCATAAATGCCATCTTGAACAAAAATGCATGTACAGGTTTAGGCAACTCTAATCAGAAAGTATGTTTTAATGAATCCATATATGAACAGAAGCTAATACAATCTCTACATAATAAAGTTAAACATATCTTTCCATTAATTTTGAATATTTTTTCTAGTTTCAAAATAAATTAACAGAGAATGCAGCAACCACCAAAATCTTATTTTAAAACTCCTTCCATATACTTCTGTAGCCGGCTAATAGTCTTTCTATTACAAAATCTTGGCATTTTTTTCCTCATTCTTCCCTGCACCTTCAAGCTGAAAATAATTCTTTGTAAGTCCCTTTGTATGCACTTCCAAGTTGAGATCTCACAGATGTTCCCACTTTCAAGTTTGCAGATACTTACAGATGTTTGTCCTGCTCAATTATCTAGCTTCTTTTCAAATTCAATTATTTCACTATAAGCGTGTGGGAGAAGACACAATAATCAACTAAAAGAGTTCTGCATGGAAGAATAAAGAAAAATTCCAAAAGCAAGCACAGAAAGACCCGGTTAGCTACAGGAAATATTTGGAAGCTGTTATTCTTGCCAAAGATATTCAAAGTACTAATAGAAAGGATATTTAAATGTTTCATGTGCCATATTCACTACTTTCTCACTCTGAATATGTCACAATTCCATACAAATGCTATGCATTCAAATTTGAAAAAAGATGTTTTAACCATGTAGAATTTCTATGCACTGTATTTTCTTTTTGATCAAAACAGCCTATCTTGAAGTCTTATTGAAATGAAGGCTGTGTAGTAATAATGTTTGAACACTATTGGTGAATAATGGTGTTTAGTACAAATAATATAATTGCATACCATTCCTTAAAGATAAAATATAATAAAAGCATATTTAAATACCATAATATACTTTTTATGATACTTACAAAAATTACAAGCTTGTATCTTCTGCAAGAAAAGACACGTTATGTGAAAAGCAATCGGATAAAATGTAAGGGTTTAGTAGGCATGTCCAAGCAGAAATAGCGAACTTGCTCTATAACCAGAGAATGTTGCAAATAAATTAACATATTTTTGGTGATCAAGAACTTTTAATTGTTTTAGCAGATGCCCCCTCAATTTTGGGGGGGGGGGGGAGGCTGTTTCAAAATAAATAAATTAATTAAATACAGTGGGACCTCGGGTACCAACCACAATCCATTTCAGGACTTCGGTCGGCACCCAATTTGTTTGTGACCAGAAGCAAGACTGACTGTGCATGCGTGCACACACAAAAAATGGCTCAGCAGGGGAAATCGCCACGGCAGAGGAAATGTGTTTATTCGGCAACCGAGGATGTATTTGTGACCCGAATGCAACATTGAGCGGATTTTTCAGTCAGCACCCAAATTGTTCGTGGTCTGAGACGTCCAGGACCCAAGGTCCCACTGTAGATATATTTAAAAGCCCAACAATGTCTTCTAAAAAAAGCATAAAATAAAATAAAATCACCTGGGGAGGGGAGCTTAGTGTAGTATGTAGTTACTAATAACCACTTTCTCTCATTTAACAAAATTTATGCTGTTATGCAACATTTAACACTGAAATGGCTACTTTGAATCATGAATGATTTATTAATCTGTAAGGTAAAAGTAGATTCTCTAAACAAAGAAATACTTCTTTGCCCTTCAAAGAGACTTACAAACTTCACAAATGATGAAATGATTGTACTATGGCTACAGGTTTAGACGTAGTGACATTTTTCTAACTTGCAAATCTAACCCACATCCCTCCTCAGATGGAAGATGCAGAGTGCCCAAAGTGCATGAAACATCACTGCGAAGGTCAAATATCAGTCCTCTTCTGCCCACCTCTTTTGAAAGAATCACACACACGGACACACACACTCACACACACACACACACACTCACACAATGTATAGGTCTCAGTTCAAATCCTCCCAGTTTAAAGAATGGCATTATGCATTAAATGTTTACTCATCCTTTTTGCATTCACTGAAACCACATCACCGTTAAGCCTCAAAGCCCAACATTTGCCACATGCAGTTTGGGCTCGTGTTATCGGTTGTTATTATTTGGATTTTGAACAAAGTTGATAGAGTAGGAGCCAGTTGAGGAATCTTGCTTCATTTGGAAGTTTTCCGTTGATAAGCCAAAAGGACGGAGAACCAGATTCCCAAGATCCTTCAGCTTGCCTGCAATACACATACATAAAAAAATTCACACCTTCAGCTACATTTAAAAAAACTAGCACAATAATCAAAGGAATGTCTTCTGACAACGATACTGTGCGGAAGAAGGAAGTTTTAAAATGACTTTTAAGAATTTTGTTCAAGAAATGCCAACATAAGAATAATATCACCCACTTTCACCAGAAATGGTCATTTTAAGAGAGACTCCAGGGGAAAAAATACTACATGTCCAAAATTTGCTCCATTATTATGTATTACATGCAGTTTCTCCCTTTGAATTTATATCTCCACTAGTACAACTCCTGTGGGCTTCATAATGCTCACAGCATGTTTTTGACAGACCGGTGGTAAACAGAACACCTGTTTTCAAACTGACAGACTCTGTTTGCTACTACCCACATGACTTTTTAATCACAATTATTTACAGCTACTGTGTTCATCCTCAATTCTAGAACTCTTTAGTTAACATTTTTATTTTAAAAAGGGTGAGAAGAACCCATGCTGCCATCTAATGTAGTATTGTAATTAGACAATACAAAGTTTATGAAGAATTGAAACTGGGAGCAGCCCAGATTAAGTCATGTCTTAAGATCATGAAAAACAAAATCGAAAGTAAGCATGTGGATGAATGACAAGAGGGCAAAGATTGAGTGGATAAGCCTTCTCTTTGCTTAACAAACAATTTGTGTTTGGATAAACTGAAATCAGCTATCCACAAAGACTACAGCAGTACAAGCATAAAACTGTACAAGCATAGAACTGGCTTAAAACTCCGCTCTACTCCTTCGGAAAAAAAATACTTTAGATATCAATTTCACTATTATTTAACTATAATAACATGTTGAAACTAAAATCCAGCTACAAATTATAATACTAGTAGTATTTTTTTTTTCAATTTCAAACCAAAACATTGTTCTATATTGTTTTGAACCATTCAAAAAACGACTTCCTAAAACTTAATTCAGAAAGGCCCTATCCCTTCTGAAGTGTTGCAAGTACTGAAGCAAAAACTAGTTTCTAATGAAAAGGAATTGGGCATGGAAAAAATCGGATGTTTTTCCATTTGCTGACCTTTCAACAACTATTATTAACTCTCTACAAGTATTCCAGAGTGAAATGACCTTTTGTACCTTTCAGAGAGTTTGGGGGAAAGTGGATGGTATAACACTGGTAATAACAGTTAATCTTCAATTCGATTCACAGTCTGGGGCTGGTAAAAACTTAACAGTTCAAGTCCTAACCAAGGACCTAGCAGTTATGAATAGAGTGGGGTTTTGGGGGGTTGTTGTTTTTTTTCCAAAGCTAAGATATTGAGATCTAATCATTTCAAAATTTCCATATATCTAGGCAGGGTATTGTTCCAAGGGCTCCTATTACTATTGGAACAACCATTGATTTCTTCCTCCATAGTGATTCAACTTTAATTTGCAAATCAAAATATTTTGTTATTTTTTTCCTAGCTGTTTCTCTTCCATTTGTGCATCAGCTGGTAGGTGATTCTCTTCCATTTGTGCTGTTTCTCTTCAATTTGTGCATCAGAAATACCAGGTGATGATTGCAATACCAATCATCATCACCATCATCCTCATACAATTTCTATAAAAGATTGAGGGGAAGTGGATACAGATAAAACCTGGCACTGGCTTACAACTGGAACATTTAAAAAAAGGAAACTGAAGGCTCAATGTTGGCTGTGCAAAAGCAAGCTATTAAAATTAATGCAATCAAGGCCAGAATTTTAAAAAATCATCAAATGATTTAAAAATCCAGATTGTGCAAAGAAGCAGAAGAAGCAGTAGATAATACACTTAGCTGATGCAAGATTGTACATAACACAGTCACCCAAATGATTCACTGGAACATCTATAAAAATTACCATGTGCCAGTAACAAAACACAGAGTTGAAAAAGCAGTTGAATATGAGCAAATTAATATATTGTAGGATTTCCAAATACAAACTGATAAAGTTTGGGTTCACAACACTCCAGATACAGCTGTGATTGAAAAGAAAAAAATGTGGATAATTCATGTGACAATACCAAAAAAATTGGAGATCATAAAGTATTAAGTCTCAAGATCTCAAAATGAAAAGATTATGACATAAATCGGCCATGGTTATCCCTCTGGGTGCCACATCAAAGTATCTTCGATAGCACTTCAAAAACCTGTGCATTGACAAAATGTCCATCTAGAATTGCAAAATACCACACTCCCTCGATCTATGCATATACTATGCCAATCAGGTTTTGAGGAAGAGCTTGATGTGTATGAAGGTCAACACCATTTAAAGAACTGGCAACTAAGATTTCACATTGTTATGAACAAATTTTACTATTTTCCAAGGAATATAACAATATCGCCATCACAAAACAATTGGCTCAATGAGGAGAAAAACCATTGCCTTTTATACCAACGCACTAGATATAATTTGTCAATATAATTTGCAACCAGATTTTGCATCCAGTCTATTAGTTGCATGTTCAGAATGACTTTATGCTGCAGATCCCATGGCAGAAGCAATTTTGCTGTTTGCTTTTATATAAAAGTTTGTTTCCTACTGCCAAAATAAAATCATCGGTATTTCTACTGTGGCAATAGTCAGGGTGTTTCTATTTTTGTAGCTGTAGAGATCAGGGTGACCCAGCTGCAACCGGTTTTTTTTAATGATCTGACAGATAAATATACACAAATCCTTTCGTTTCATACATGGCAGAATCTGAAATAAGTCTGTGGAATTCTACAAATTCCACAGAAAAGGCCATTTTAGAAAGGTATATGTTTTATGCATATACCCTTACAGAAACCATTCTCCTGCATAAGCAAACTATATACAAAATGTACTTACCTAACATCTCAGCCTTAAGTTTTTCATTACGTTCTTCTATTTCTTTTGGCAATCTCTAAAAACAAAAGCAAAGAGAAGGCCAATTCCACAAACACATTAAGCAACTTTATTTACTCTTTATTCGGTGTGCAGAGATTGATGCATCACTTAATGATGAAAAGATAAGGACACAATTATTGTCAATGCTTGCTTTAAGTTCATATATAACCCAAGCCATTATCTGATTTATTAGAGAACCATACATACCTGTCCAAGAATGATTTTGCTTTCATCTAAGTAAGAGAAATAACTCAGTGGATGCAATTTTAGGCTTCAAAATCCAAGACTTGTATGCCCATCATATAACTAAAGATTTCATTTTCAAGTCATATAATTCAGACATAGATAGCCCCTTCACAATAGCATTTAAGGAACTTCAAAGCCGTTATTAAAGCCTACGGCTAGGTATCGATGATGTTATGCAAAGAGTGGAACATCTTTATGATATTCTCTCCTAAGAATATTCTAATTATGTGAGTTTTCCATATTTTAGGCAACCCTCCACACCAGCTCCTTTAAAAGGGGCTATTAGGACCACACATTGCTAAAACTTTAAAACCAAATTATTTTGGAGGTGACCAAAAAGCTACAGCTTTATCATGTGTTCTGAAAATTTGAAAGCAAATGCTCTTCAAAAAGTCACAAAAACGAACAAGAAAAGAAAGGGGGGGGAGGAATCAAGATGGCTTTTTGTTCCCGCCATGGCAGATTTTCCCCCACATTTTAATTCCAAAGCTGTGTTTGCTCACATCTGAAGTAAAGCTTTAATTCAAGAAGCTTGTTAGAATCCTCTTCCCTCATCTCTTATAACTGATCCACCAACTTGAAAATCAGGATTATGGTTTCAGTACCAGCCTATGTTGTGGCCCGCCAGCAGAGCTGGTAGCAGATTCAGACAGTGAAAAGGTTAGGGAGGAACATGGGCCAGTCCTGGAGTCTGGGGAAGGCTCTGATGAGGGCTCGTGTCAGAGGCAGAGATGGGGCCAGAGTCGTATGTCAGTTATCAGCTGTCTTCAGAATCAGACATCAGTGAGGCAGACATACAGCTGGAGTTTGTTCCCAAAGTGCGCATGCGCAGTTGCCAGACAAAGGGAACAGCTAAAGATCAGGGGTTGACTTGGGAGTAAGGCCACAGATGGACGATGAATGGCCCCTCCCAGAAGAAATAAAAAAGGAGCGAAAGGGGAGGGGAGTTTGCAGGAGACTCCTTGCCAGATTTTGCAGATATCGGCCTGGCAGCTCTTTATGCCAGATAAGGTCTGTGACTGTAAATCCTCCCTTGAAAGACTTTGCTGGATGTGAATGAGCAGAATTCACAGTAAATTAATAAAAGGGGTCTTTGTCAGGACCAGGAGTTTACTTCATGCTCTTGGGAAGCCTAGGTCAGAACAGCCTTTCTCTTCACTCCCTATTCTTTTGAATCATGTTTCTTACCATCTTTCACCAGAGTCCTGAAATGTTCTGTGCTTTAATGGTATTACTATAATCATCTCCTTGATTGAAAAAATAAGTTTACCATGCAAGCTTCCCTTGCTTGATATACCGATGGATCTTTCTCCAACAGATTTTTGTAATCCTCTAAAGCTTCATCTAGTTTTTCTGTTTTTTCATACAGTTCTGCCCTTCTCAACAGTGCTTTGATATAGTTTGGGTTTAACTCTAGAGCTGAAAAACAAAAAGAGAGCAATGATACACCTTACTTGCAGTATTTCTACAAGATACTTGTACAACCATGCTCCAGTACTATTTAATAACTCCATTGCTAAATAGTAAATAGATTAAGCAGATATACGTATCAACAATTCTAGCACTATTATCATACTGAACTTGAATCTATATTCATAGGATTGGGGGGGGGGGGGGGGGGGTCTGCTTTCAATTTCACATGCCATATGAACCAAAAATGTAGTTCAGAAATTATTTTATCTGATTAATTCCTTAATATTCTATGTGAGCCCAGTCCATTGTTATATATTCAACAAACCATAGGTTAGTATGCATTTTGGTTAACAGTGATGGTAATCAATCTGATTTCACTGTTGCTACCTCCACTCCATTCTATCCAGCCTATTTCCAAGTCCCTCTAAACCTGCCCAACTCATTCCTTCTTTTAACATCAGATAAACATAGCCCAATTATTTTCCAGGTACTGTATCTGATGCTCAGTTGAAAGCTTCAATCATGGAGTAATTATTTAGCATTCTGCTTATTTCAGTCATCAAATCCTTCTTGAGTAAACCAAATATTTGAGGGAGGTAGATGGGAAAATTAACAGTGCCATTGATCAGGCTTCATCCTAGTATATAATATCAGATATCTGTCAAATTCCCTATATTCTCTCCCATGTCTAGTCTCTAAACATAATATCCTGACCAAGAGCAAAAGTGTGAGAAGAAAATACCTTTGCTGCAGTCACTTATAGCCATTTCTTTCTTGTCCTAAATGAGAGATAACATTGACATTTAATATAAAATATATGTTTCTGATATTCATAAAGATTGGGAAATATTACATGGTGGCATAAAAACTTTATATGCTCAGCATCTAAATCCAGAACCATGGGACAATAAGTCAGTGAAACTAGAGACTAAGAAAGGTATGCTACGTATCTGTACGCTGGCTAACCTATTCCAAGATACCCAAGAATTTTCCATTTGTAGAAAATAAAACAAATAGCAATAGCACTTATTATATGCCGCTCCATAGTGCTTTATAGCTCACTCTGGGTGATTTAAAATATCAGGCTATTCCCCCAACAATCTGGCTCATGGCTACATCCATGTTTCCCATTTTGGGACAAGTCTCCATCAGCCTTTTCCAGTGATCATACCAGAGAGAATAGGAGAAGAGCTGACAGAAAGCCTATTCCCTAAGTTAGCAACATCCAGACCACCTTCACCATCTGTCCTGGTCTAAACATGTCCAACAGGAAGAGCAGTTTCCCCAGCACTCAGGATAGGGAATTCTGGGAGTGGAAGTCTACACATCTTAAAAGTTAGCAGGGCTGAAAAATGTTGCTATAGCAAAGACTCTTTCCCAGCATTCCTTTCAAGTGGGAGTCGGGATATGGCAAAGGATCACAGTTTCAGAGAAAAGCTGGCTAATTAGCAAATGCTTGGCAATACACTCACTCTGCTGTAGTAGATCTGTTCAAACTTAATAAATTTGCAGCGGCATCTGAAATGCCAAACCAACTCACCCACCCACCCACCCACGTATCATTTCCCCCTGCAGCTCCTCCGCACATAAAAGTTCTGACAAAATGAAATCTTCTCAAAACTTATCGCTTTATAATCTTGGAAATTAGTATTACCTGTTTCATTCTTGCTGCAGCTCTATTTGAATACAAAATGGATCTATCTGTGTTACAGGAGGCCGGACAAACCCGCAGGGCTTTTGCATATGAATCTTCTGCTTCTTTATACTCTGAAGTTAGGGCAGAAAACAACAACAACTGAAATTGGGGGAAAAAACTGAAAAACACAAAACAATGCAGAATATTTACATATTTTAATCATTTTTCATTTTAAAATAATAACAGAAAAAGTTAAAAAAAGCAAACAGTGCAGAAATATTGGGGGGGGGGGGTTACCCTAATTTGGTTATGACTCATTTGTGGGATGCACTATACTTTCCCAGCATGTTCAAAACAGTGGGATTTTTTTTCCTTTTGGAATTAAAAGCAAAGCATCAATCTGTAACTTTTAAATAATAGCTCAGATTCAGGACAATTCAATCTGTAGATAGGTATCATTCAGTTATGAAAAATATTTACATACAAGGAGGTTCCAAAGAAAAGAAATGTGCAGTATGTTAAGGTTATTCTAACATGAAAATATTGCATAACAGAACTTGAATTTTCTCAGTCACGTTAACACTTGATTTAGGTAGCAAGAATCCAATTAAAAACTAATAAAGACTCCTGGTTCTTTATGTTATTCCTATTGTATTTTGTGGGGTCCACAAAAGCAAACATTTACAAAGCCTCTGGCGTTCTAAGTAGGAATACAAGGATACTATTGTGTAAATAATTCAACTTTGCTCTATGCAGTATAAGAGTTTGTAGGAGATAACTTCATATACGCTACAAAAGGGATAAACTCACTGGCTGAGATTAGGAACTCTACTACTCTGGTTAATGGGACTGAGTCTTTTGGAATCAGAACAATTTCTGAAAAAATAGCAGCAATAGATTTTTATCACTATTAAAAGTGATTTCAATATACTGGGGAATGTGCATTAAGCTTAGATTGTCTTACTGATATTATCAATTAATTAATATGCAGAATCAATTAATATGAAGAATACACCCATGTTCCATAAAGAAATTTCTACAATTAGTGACAGTCTTCTGTCTGCAACTTTTCTAATAAAGGATGCACACAATTTACATACTGCATATCTTCTTTAATTTCTTTTCTTGACACTTCACTGAAAAATAAAAAGAAGCGTGGTGGTGTTGACAATTGGCAGACTTGTATTTGAGATCTGGTTGCTGCCGTGGGATGGGGTGAGCTTCAATCACACACTGCAGCTCCTGCCAACCCAGCAGTTCGAAAGCAAGTGACAAGAGTAGATAGATGGTTATCACTTCAGTGGGCAACTTAAAGAAGCCCCCAACTAGGCATCCCCGGGCAACGGTGATGTCACCTTTCAACCCAGAAGCACTTCAGAAGCGCTCCCAACATTGCTGTTGTAGTGGAAAAAAAAACTAGCCTTTTTCTGAAACTGTACAGATGTGTGGAAGAGACCAGAAATACCACCATTCATTGTCCAAACCCCCCTCCTTACAAATCTCGGCAGAACAACTAAAATCCTAAATTACTCTGTACATTTTAGCAGTTTATCCATGAACCAACAGATCCTGCAACAGTAACCAACAATGAGATAATAAACATAGCAGAGGTTTGTTATCTGCATTAAAACTGTCATTTTTTTTTTTATTTCTTGGTTTATTTTCCCTTTGTAGAATGATTTTGGACAATTGTTTATGAAATTTTAACAAATACTGATAAAATGCAAGGCCGCATACAATAAAATCTTGGTTTAAAGGACCAATTGAGATAAGAGACGCATTAGATAGGAATATACAGTGTGTGTGTGTGTCTGTGTGTGTGTGTGTCTGTGTGTGCGCGCGCATTAATTGCAAAAAATATAGGTATCATTTTAAACTACTGCCAGACTTGGAGTTTGATGAAAGGATGAAAAATGGCATCAAGAGAAGGGGAAACTGCTCCTCTTCCTCTGGATCAAA